AAACATGTAAGCATAATTTCCTGCTTCCTGATAGAACCAAATGACTGCCACACCAGAATACCAAGGCTGAACTGACTGCAATTCGTTATGCTGTGTTGGTCCACATTCTTGCCAGGATGAGATGAAAGGCTAAAGCCAGAAACATTACCACCCAGAGGTTGTTCTGCTGACAAACTCAAAAGGAACACAGCTTCACTGGCAGCTGCATGCAATGGCGGTACAGTAGGTCCTGGTTATCTATGGTTAATTGGGACTGCAAATATGCCACTTGAAGTGAATCCCCTTAATAGGGAAAGTTTCACCCGCAAAAAATAATGTAAACAAGAGTTAATACGGACTGCTACAGTAGAGGTTACCACATGTCTGTAAAGTGAGAAGGTAGCATGCCATCCATGAAATATATTAAAAAAGGAATCTGAATCCAACGAACAGAAAATCAACTCCTGCAGCCATTCTAAACTAATGACCATACTTTTTTAAAATAACAATACTTTACACATACAAATTTAATACATAAGTACCATGTGTTTGCGACTATCCTTATCTTTCAAAGTATACAGAACAATAACTTTATATTCTGTGTCTGTCATATAGAATGAGAGAGAGAGAGAGAGAGAGTGCATGTGCATGCGCACTCACACTTTTGCTCATAAAATTTCTTTATAGCATGTTAACACTACTTCCAATTCACATTCAATCCTGCCAGAATCACCAGAGAAAGGATCATGGTTAATGATGATAACTAGTAAGTTCTTTACTATAGGATTCTGACGATGGTGTATAACACACTGATATGTTGGGATTTTGGACTTTATCCATCGTCCTGGTTTTTAAGATAACAAATAAAAACACGTTTCGGAAACTGGATCTGTTTCCGTCCTCAGGTGAAGGAAAACACCTATTCAGTTGGGTCCCTTAGAAAGAGCTAGCCTCAATCACTGGACGCGATTGAGGTCCAGTGACTGAGGCTAGCTCTTTCTAAGGGACCCAACTGAATAGGTGTTTTCCTTCACCTGAGGACGGAAACAGATCCAGTTTCCGAAACGTCGTGTTTTTATTTGTTATCTTAAAAACCAGGACGATGGATAAAGTCCAAAATCCCAACATATCAGTAAGTTCTTTGCTTATGTATAACTGCCAAGGGGGTGTGTAATTTTGTAGATATTCTGGTTTCCTTTTTTTGTGCAGAATATGACGATATACAGTATTATTGTGTAAGTATGCAAACATAACACAGTCTAATTAGCTATTTCTCTTTAGCTTGTGTTGAGGTTAGTGTCTGGGGTGGTACTGACAGGAAGATAGATGGTTTAACATACAGTTAAGAGTATCTTACCTTGTGCAACTACAAGGAGTGTTCCGTATATAATGCCTCCTATTTTTTTTTAATGATAACTACAACAGATACAGAAAGCATAATAACACAGTTAAATAGAGCAAGATTTCACCTACTCAGTTATTTTTCCACATAATCACCACCATTCATTATGCACTTTTGCCAGCGATGAAGAAGAGCCTGTATGCCACGCTCGTAAAAGCGGGCACCAGCAGAGGCAAGCCACTTTCTCACAGCTGCAATGACAGCATCGTTGTCTGGAAAATGTTGCCCATGTAGTCCATCTTTCACAGGCCCAAAGAGATGGAAGTCTTAAGGTCCTAAATTGAAGCCATAAGGTGGATATGGCAGAACAGTCCAGCCAAACTTTGCGATGTGCGCGATGGTCGCCAAACTGGTATGGGGTCTAGCATTATTGTTTTGAAAGTGAAAGGTTGTCTGCTTCTCTGGCCTGACTTGGGAAATGCAGGCTTTCACTTAGTCAGCATCGTCTTGCAGCGTTCAGAATTGACAGTCTCACCAGGCTCCAAGAAATCCAACAAAATGACACCCTGCCTATCCCAAAAGACCATGCACATCTCTTTCTCTGCCGATATCTGTATTGAACTTCTTTTTTCTTGGGGAATGCGGATGTCCATGGACTGTCTTTTGGATTCCATCTCGTAGTGGTGACACCACGTCTCATCTCCGGTGATCATGCTGTCCAGAAACTTGTCACCTTCAGCTTCAAACTGGTGCAACAGGTCCTGAAAGACTTCCATTCAATCAGTTTTTTGGCCCTGTGTAAGCATCCGCAGGACCCATCTGGAACAAACTTTGCGATAATCCAGCTTCCCTAACATTGTTTCCAATGCATTACAGATATTAAGCCGTGCACACAGCTCCCTGGTCATTATCTGCTGATCTGTATGGATGAGCTGATCGAGACGCTGTTCATTGTGAGGAGTGACAGCTGAGCAGGCATGTCCAGGGCGTGGTTTGTCATGCACTTCACTTTCGCCACTGTTGAAATGCACTACCCACCACCTCACTGTGCAGCCATCCACTGTATCGTCTCCATACAACTTTAGCAAGTGTTGCTGGATGCCAATTGTTGCAATTTGTTTGGCAGTGAGAAATTCAATAACACATTTCTGTTTTGTATGCACTTCTATGTCAGGTACCATTCTGGTAGACTGCTCTGCTGTCACTATCTGCTGCACGACAACCAAACTCACAGTACATTGGCGGGAAGGTTCAACCTTTACTACAACACCACTGACATACAGCTCAGATGTTACAGATTAACACAAAAAAATAGGTGGCATTATATATGAAGTGCCTTTCGTACTATACTGAATAATGTTTTTTGCCTTTGTTGTGTTTATCTTTGAGTAGATGTATCTTATCATATTTGTACAGAGAGGTTCTTACCATTGTTGAGCAGTTCATGGCTCTCTCCATTTCAAAGTGAATGGTGCAGCATTGGCTGTAAATCAAATACAAATTTTGCCAAAGAATCAGCACACCTGATGGCTGATAATGTTTGGAATTAAGGGAAGTTATTAACTTTGTGGACTGCTTGATGGCATTATGTTTCAAGGCAGTAGTAATCAGCACCATTAGCCATGTATTCTCAGTTACAAACACTTAGCACTGTATTTCATCATGATGCAGTATACTTTGGAGAAATGTGTATTCTGTATGACACCTACATCAAACACAAATCAGCCAGAAAATGCTGGTGACAATTTCATGATGAAACTGTTTGCAGCAGACAAACAATTCACAATTTGGTCAATAAACTTTGATTAACAAGACTCTTAACAGGAAAGAAACAAAAATATGTGCTGAGTGCTTACTGAGAAAAATACAATGGGCAGACTTGAATTACTTCATTCTGAACGCTACTGGCCACAGGCATATTGATTCATCGGCAAAATTTGTATGCATTTTGCAGCTGCAGCGCACCAGACATTGTGAAGCAGAGTCATGAACTGGTCCAGTAAGAACCTCCTTGTGTATAAATAAGTAAAAATTTTCTTTGATGTTCATCATGTTCATGAAGCTGAGTCCTTGAGAAGATGCCAATTGCGCAGCTACTCAAAAACTTCCCAGTGCTTTATGGAACCAGAAGGTATATTACCATGTTCACAAGAGCCCTCCACTGGTACCTATCATGAGCCAGATCCATCTAGTCCATATCACCCAATTTTATCACTCTAATATCCATTTTAACATTTTCCACCCACTTACATCTTGGTCTTCCTATACATCTCATCCTAAAGAGTAGAAACTATGAACCTCCTCATCATGCAGTTTCCTCCAATCTCCTGTCACTGCATCTCTCTTCAGTCAAAATAATCTCCTCACACATCGTGTTCTCAAACACCCTCAGTCTATGTTCTCCCTTAATGTTAAAACCAAGTTTTTCACCAATACAGAACCACAGGCAAAATTTCAGTTTTGTATATTCCAATTTTTATGTTTTAGACAGCAGATAAGAAGACAAAAGATTCTGGACTGAATGGTAGCAAGTATTACCTGAAGTCAACCTCCTCTTAATTTCCCCCTAAATGAGGTTTTGAATCTTTACAGTCAATCCAAAATATCTGAACTATGCCACTTTTTCAAAACATCTGTTACCTATCTTTATATCATGATTTTGCTCTGCATTCTGGTGATGAGATAGCAACATATATGAGGGTTGGAACTTTAATAGTGGCAACACTGTTGTAGAGATGCCATGCAATGGAACCAAATAATATCGCTTATACCACATGTTGGTTACATACCTACCCTTACCTCAGAGCAAATGGACTCTCCTTTCCCACAGCACGTGCATNAAAATAATATACACATATACACGGTGCCAAATCCCAGAAGACTGCTTTCTTCATAGTCACCGACGTGAAAGCCTCAAATATTACAATACAGCAAGTATCTGCAAACCAATTACTACGTCTCGGCTGCATTTTCCAAGGTCTGTTTCTAATGTAATGCTCCAGGGATTTTTAACTCTTCTTATACTATCCACTGATTAATTCATTATAACTTCTCATTTGCTAGTAGTTTTGCAGTGCACATACAGCACAAACACCAAGTAACTGACAACAAGCACAAAGTTAAACACCACNGAAGTGTATGCTGTTTCCATGTTACTGGAGAGTGATCGATGCCATACGATTCGTGAGATGGCCCGAGAGACAGGATTGTTGCATATGAGTGTGCTTCACATTCTGAAGGAATGCCTGGGCATGAGAAAAATTGCATCGCGATGGGTTCTGCAGGATTTGACAGAAATGCAGAAATGGCAAGCTGTGGCTGATTTGTTCGATTGATGGGGCTGGGAAGTGCTGTACCATCCACAATACTCCCCGGATTTAAGCCCTTGTGACTTCGACTTGATCCTAAGATGAAGGAACCACTTCGAGCATTCGCATCAGAACTGTTCCAGAGATTCTTCAGGCAGCAGACAACTCCATTCAAACTATCAACACAACAGGTGCTGCTAAAGGTATCCTACGACTTCCACATCGCTGGCAACAGGTTGTACACAATGCTGCTGACTATATTGAAGGACAGTAGAACTTTGAAACATGCATCTATTTTGTATCAGTTGTAAATAAATAGTTGCCACTATTAAAGTTCTAACCTTCGTACTTAGTTTTCTCTGTTTACTTTTAGGCCAACCTTCTTACTAGCATCAACTAAAGTTTCTGTGTTTTTCTTTATCGAAATGAAGACACAAAACAGCTAATACAAGTTTTGAAAATGTGGCAGAGTTCAGATATTTGGGAATGACTATAACAAATGAGAACCTGTTTCAGGAGGAAATGAAGAGGAGGTTGAATTGAGGTAATGTTTGCTGCCATTCAGTTCAGAAACTTTCATCTTCTTGTCTGCTGTCTAAAATAATACAAATTAGAATATACAAAAGTATGATTTGGCCTGTGGTTCTGTATGGGCATGATATGTGGTCTCTGACATTAAGGGAGGAAAACAGGGTGATGAGAATATCTGGATTGAAGAGATGAAGTGATGGGAGGTTGGAGAAAACTGTGACAGTAGTTAGTATCTAGTATTGTGATTTGGGGGGGGGATTTTATTAACAGATCAAATACCGGATCATTTTGTGCACCACCTTGTAGCTTCCCAAGCTCTACTAATGTCCACCTCAGTGTCTAAGTTTTCCAAAGCTGCGAACCTATTTGAGATTTCAACATGAAACTGCTCTTTACCCTCTACCTCGTTTAATTTCCTGGGATTGAACCTCTCCATATGAACAGTTTGCTGTTTTTTCTCACTGCCAGGCTCTCCCTGCTGGTCATGGTAGCCGAGTGGTCTAGGGCATGAACTGTCTTTGGTCACTCAGAAGCTGCGATCTTGGGTTCAAATCCTACACAAGACATGGATGTTCAGTGTGTATGCATTTATTCTGTGTTTGTGTTGTCCTGTGTTTAGGTAGAGGCCTTGTGATGAGCTGATCGCCTGAACAAGGAATCCTACCATCTGTAGAGCGATAAAGAAACTGAGAAATCAGCCCTATGCTCCAAAGTGGGAGCAAGAGGAGGGGGAAGAAGTAATTTTTCCCTAACTTTTGCCACCACCAGGTAGTGGTCAGTATCACAATCTGCTGCCCTGAATGATCGGACTTCAAGTCTACTTGAATGCCACCTCCAATCTACCAAAATATGGTCAATTTGGTTGTGTGTCTTTCCGTGAGGAGATATCCCAGTAAATCTGAGTGTGATGATGTGGGAACATTGTACTTTTGACAATAAGATTTTTGGATGTGGCAGGATTTACTACTGCAATGCCATTATCATTATTACTTTTGTGCAAAACTCACATTCCCAATTGTTGGTTTGAAAACTTCTTTGCTAGCTTCTATGGCACTGAAATGTCCTAACAAGATTTTCATGCGATACTTCGAGAATCTATTAAATACATGTTCTAGTTCCTCGTACAACCTGTCCTTTCTTCTATTGCCAGTAGGGTGGGACTAAGTCCCTTGTACTGCAGCCAGTTCTGGCCTATTGTACCAGCACCAGATGATAGTTGAGGGTGATTGTGGAGCAATTGGTGGAATGAAGATTGGCAGGGGAAACCGAAGTACTTGGAGAAAACCTGCCCCAGCGCCACTTTGTCCACCACAAATCCCACTTGACCAGACCCGGGATCGAACCCGGACCGCCACTGTGGGAAGCCAGTAGCTAACCGCTTGAGCTATGTCGTGGCTGAGAACATGTCCTTTATATCATTGATTTTATCCTCTGTTGGTTTCATGAACGTTCAGAACGATATCCCATCAGTGACCTCTTAGTATCGTGTACAACTAACAAACTCTATCCTCTTAACTACCGATATGATTCTCTTATGTATGAAAAATCTGTACCTAACTCATGATTCTCATTCCCTTTTCCATAGCAAAATGTATATTCGCCTACTGGTTCAGTGCCACCTCCGTCCCATCTGAGCTCCTGGACTCACACTAACTGCAACTTATATTTTGATATTTTTTCTGCCACTGCCCTGGGTGAACCTGCCCTATACATACTTCTCACATTCCTTGTCGCAATTAAATTGCATTAAAGGATTGAGGAAACTTTGCTGTCACTTACTGCACCCAAAATTCCTTACAGACTGCTGCTGTAACTCCCAATAGCAGAATGAGTCATTAGCGCTGATAAACGTACACTGGCAGGTGGGGTTATCTTGTCACTGCAGTTAAGTTGCAGTAATAGTCAGTCTGTGTTAGAGATTTCGATAGGCAGTCGACATTTATACTGAAATGAAGTTCACTACTCAACAGTGTTTGTTTATTGTCAAAAATTTTCCAAGGAAAAAAAACTTACAGAAAATGTATCAGTATGTTTCATCATAAATATCCTGATCCACTAGTTCCCAAAAAGTCGTGTGTGAAAAGGTGGCAGGCCACAGGTTCAGTGCGTGACATAAAGAAGCAATCAAAGAGGACTGTTCTAACTGAAGAAAAAGTTTGGGATATTGTGGCACAACTACAGATCAGTCCTTGAAAATTGTTAAGACGCTTAGCACAAAAACTGGTGTTTTCACCCATATAATGTAAGAGAATGAAATAACACATGTAATTAGTTCAATTACCATGGACCAACTTCAGAAGGAGTCACATAATTTATTTGTGCAATGCAAGCAGAAGGGGGTCACTTTCAGCACCTGTTATAAAGCTAGGTAAGTTTGTGTTATCTTTTTACAGTGTTCTTATAAATGTGTGCATGTACGGAAACTGATGTGAGGGACAGTCAAAGAGAAACGATCCATCCACTCTACGCATTCCCCTATTGGCAGTTACAGCAGAAATCTGTGAGAAATACTGTATCTGACTCGTGCTACTTCCCCAGTTTCCTCGATGATTGAACCCCTTGTATTATGTCCATTTACTTTAGCTTCTGTTGTTCATTCAAAGAATGTGTTGAGGTCCAAGACCCTTTGTGTCATTTTGTAACAAACTTAGCCCCACAACCAACCCCCAACCTGGAGGACCATCTTTTCTTGGCCATCTGTGACTACTTATTCCATATATTCACAGCTACCCTCCATATCTAGAGGCCGTCTCCTCCATTCGCAACCTGAGAATATGCCATGCCATCGTGACAAGGGACTGACCTAACATGGTCATGTTCATTAACCCTTCTGTGCCGGGCTCGGTGTCTTCTACACCAGCAGTTTCTGTCACATGCTGGCCGGGTCAGTGCACTGTACGCTTAGTGTAGTGCTAAGTTTCAGCGCTTGTTTTTCATGTAAAGTAATACTGTTGATATGAAATTAAAGAGGACGTTTCTGGCTATCATTTCATATATTCACTGTCCCACTTTGAACTTCCCATGTGATTTGCATTTCATTCGATTTCTTTGAAGAAGTTTTGTACTTTGCCACGTAGTGCGCTCTGTTACTGGAATAGTATTGAAATAAATATGCTAGTTCAATAGTGTGTGCTCTCTGTGCATGTTGATAGAATTGAAATTTGATTCTCTTCAAGCAGAATTTGACAAGTGCTGCTTCTACATTGGAATTTGTAAATGCGAGAAACCGAGAAAGCACGTGTAGAGCTTACAATATGTAGGGTATGTGATGTTGACTTTAAAAGAAGTTTGTTATGACTGCTATGTTGGATACATTGAACAGCTTCCTATATGAATGCCTCTTTCTACATTCCCCTTTGTTCCATAAATAGAATCATGCAGTTCGCATGTAACAGCTATGGCTAGCTCAAGCAAGAAACATTTAGCTGTGCTGATTGAGGAAGAGTTGGAATATTTGCTTCAAAGCAATTCTGAGCAAAGTCTGTCAGGTTCAGATTTTGACACTGAGAATGAGACAGATCAATGGTTCTCAAACTTTTTACCTCTGAGGCCCCCCTGAGAAGAGTAAATACTCTCAGGCCCCCAGCCTGTTTTTTTTATCAAAATATAAGTCATGGTATGTTTGACGTTTTATTCAGTTTATTTTGTGTTTTTCTACATACTATTTAGCAGTTTTCTTACTCAAACTTAAAGTATCACAATACTAGGCCTACAATAAAAATTAGTTTTAACACTTGCAATTAACCAAAATATGTACTGAAATGAAACGATATTTAACTAACAAGTATTTAAATTTTTTCTGCAAAGAACATCAAACATTTAAACGTCAAAGTTCAGTGTGATGGATGGGCCTGCTTTTGAGAACAAATTTTATCAAAACGTGGAGTAATATCAGAAATGGCCACTCCAACTTCTTTAGCAATATTTAGCCTTGAACGATATTTTGACTTTATAGCTGCCACAGTAGAAAAGCCTGTCTCGCATAAGTAAGTTGTTGCAAAAGGAATCAGGATTTTAATGCCTTTTGGCTCAGTGTTTGGAATTCCATGCACAATATGTATCCAGAACTCCAGCAAAGACAATTACTTAAATTTACTTTTTAATGAAGTATCATTAGTGAGATCGATGAGTTGTTCTTGCTCATTTACATTCTGAGATGATGGCCCAGGAGCATTTTCAAATGGATTTTTAACCCAATTAAATTTATCAAAATCATTGTAAATTATTCATCGAAATGAACTTTCAACATTATCAGATGATCAATTAGGCAGCTTTTTATGTCCATTGGAAGCACTGGATTATCAGTGTCTTGTACCATGGACACCAGAGTAGGGAACATGTCTAGCATGTCACTTTCCATACTCTTTCTCCAGAGCTCTAATTTTCTCATGAATGCTTTCACTTTGTCATTCCTAGAAAGTACAGTTGCCTCATTCCCTTGAAGTGAAGTGTTGAGGATATTTAGTTTCTCAAATATATCTGTGAGGTATGCCATTTTCAATAAAAAATCCTTGTTGCTGAAACTGTCTGCCAGAGTGATTTTCCCCATTTAAAAAACAGAACATCTCATGCCTCAGCTTAAACATTCTCTTTAATATCTTGCCTCTTGAAAGCCATCGAGCATCACTAAAAAACTACAGAGCAGTGTGTTCGGCACCCATTTCCTCACGCAGCACTTTAAAAATTCTAGATTGCAGAGGATGTGGCTGCTGCCGAACTATCAACGCTGTCTCTGGCATACGCGTTTTATAATTGCTGGTAAAGAGAATAATTATTAGTTATTTTGAAATTCATGATAATTAAAGCCTGTACTCATCAAAAGTTTTTCTATATGTATTTTTATTTTTTGTTACTATTTTAATTGATTTAGGGCAGTTTTAATTTTTATCTGTAAGAAAGTATGCTGCGCCCCCCTTCAAGCCCTTCACGCCCTCCCCCATTGGGGTTGCGCCCCACAGTTTGAGAACCACTGAGTTAGATGATCGTGCCTTGCTTGTTGCTGTGGGAAATGAGGGCAGTGATGAAGATGATGACAGTGTTACTCAAGACTTCATTTGGGAGAATATGGAGAACTATAGGGGACAGTGGGAAAATTTCAAGGGTAGTGTCAGAGCTCGAGGTCCTGCAAAACATTCACGGAAATTGTGGATGTTTCTGAGTTTTTTCAACAAAGAACTTACTGATACTATAGGCACAGAAACAAACAGATACACGGAGCAGTTCCTATGTGCGCATGAACTATCAGTCAGGTCGCATGTTAGGGCATGGAAAACTGTGAAAGAGGGAGAGATTTATGTTGTGTTGGGTTTGTTCCTGCTCATGGGCATTATACAGAAACCTACTATTCGGTCATATTTTACTACGAAAAGAGTAATTTCCACACTGAGATTTAGAGGCATTATAACACGAGACAGACTGGAGTTAATGTGTAAATATTTGCATTTCGATGACAATGAAAACATCGGAACTTTTGAAGGACCAGAAATACTTTTCAAAATTTTCCCAGTTATTTCACATCTTAATAACAAATTTCAGGAACCGTATCTCCCA